GCCGAATTGACTTATCACATTATTTCACTATCGATTATTTGTCGATAATGTCGGCAAAGGTGCATCCGTACGACCCTTCTACAGTGGGAAAGACAAAACGGTGATAGTGGTGAGGAGATTTTGTTCTGTACTGGTCCTCAACAGTAAAAATTCGGTGCATTTAGAGCTTGCCACTTCTTGATGTTTAAACACTTTCAGATGGCGCGGCCTCTCCCAAGAACCGAGGAGTGAGTGAAAACTATTGCAGAACTGGTCTGTCATATCATCCGAGATTGCCGTTGTCGGAGCCTGATCACTAATTATGGTAGATTTACCAAGAAGGGGAAGCCGCTTTGTGATAACTTTATGCGTAATTTCGTCTGGATATGAAAGCAGCATACCGACACTCATTTCTAATCATGAAGGCGTACCCCGAATATCGTCGTTTTCATCCGGCTACGATTTGGTTTATTGCTGTTATTCAGGACGGCGAAGTGTGCATCTGATTGCCGGTACAGTTATCTCATCTTACGATTGATCATCGGGTTATCCAAAAATGAAGTTACTAGGAATGGCAACTTGTAGTCCGCTTAGAAAAGATCGTGCCGATGTCTAAAAAATTCACTTATTTGGAAAAAATTTCCAGAATTGCACTGCGCCATTCCTTAAAGAAGAAATAGGGAAGCAGTTTGGGCATTCGTTATATTTTCCAAGAAAACGGAAGTCTGCAGTTACCTTTGCGGTCTTATTTGAGTAGCGCCTTCCCATCACCTCAGCCATTATTTACACATATAAGCATGCCACTGAAAAGATAATGGGAGTGTGTTTATACCACACCGTTATTTTCGTGATATGTACAACAGTTACGTGCGTGAAAAATTTGATTTCCCAAGGTATCGGCTTCTATTCTCAAAACATGCTGGATATGCCGAATATCTGCGTGTACTAGGTCTGCTAATATGGACATTAGATGTTATTTTGGGAAACGTTAGTCAGGCGATAAAGTTATTCCCATGAACTTTAATGTCTTCGCAATTGATTTTTCCTGAAATAAGAACGGTACTATTATAGTGTCGATCTTCAATTCAGCTCTGCCAGAAGCAATAGAGGGAAATTGACGTAGAAGCTTGAAAACACAATATAGGAACATTGAGAAGGCTTTTTGACAATGACCCGATTTTTGTGAGATACCCAATCACTGATATAACTTAAAACGTCTTGGTATGTCCTGCAGCATTTGAGGAATTTGCGTAACAGCTTTGGGTAAACCTAAACCACCTTGCCTCTTAGACTAGTCCAAAACCACTACACACCATTACAGTTTCGTAAATGTTGCATATGATGAAAGCAGCACGCATGAACCATGCGACAGCATACCATTTCGACTATGAAGAAGTTTAGTATGATGCTTTGGTTGAAACGCCAGTAAAATTACCAAATAAGTGGACTTTATTCTCCTAAGCCAACGTCAAGTGTCTGAGTTGCAGTTTCGAAGTTGAC